CAAATTAACGTTTTTGCTTATAGAATACAAAGTATGTATCCTTGTGCTAATTTTACCCCCAATTCATAGGTGATTTCCTTATTCAATCCCTTTTTATTAGCACTTTTCGGCCGCTTTTTTTAATTTAGATACATTTATAGGTTATATTGGAGCCGCCATATTGGATTTTTCAAAAGGCCACATATTTTTCGAAAGTACCTATATATATGAATAACTTTTGGGTATAACCAATTTTTTAGGAAGCTCTCAATTTTGGCCAACGGGGTGGCACACTTAACGTGAAACGTCCCATATATTTTCTTAAAATTCAACAATCTTGCAGTCTTTTCTATTTTCAATACTTTTTTCCACGGAGTCCTGTTTTCGCTTCACTACAATATATTCTATTTTTTTCTTTTTAATCTGCATTTTCCCCTCGTTTTCATCTGCTTCTGTTCTTTTTTGTTTTTCTTGAGTCTGCTTTTGTGCAGAAAAGTAAGGACTGGTGACTTCCTCGCTTTGCTCTTCCCCAATCTCTATGACATCAGCTACTTCTTCCAGAAAGTAGGGACTTATGGCGTCATCATTTATTGTACAATTCATTTCTGCTTCGGTATTTTCTATGTCGTTATTAGCATTACTTAATTTGTGCCATGTTGCATTATGATTTAGTAATGCTAATTTTGACAATAGAAAAACTCCGCATTTATCGCAATGTATTTGCTTTTGCTTCTTTTCTTTAAAGCATTCCACTGCAAATAGTAAAAATATTATTAATTTTTTCTGCTCTCTAAAACTGAATCAATGAAATTTGACTAAGAATCAGTGACTCTATTCTGGCGATTAGAATCAGTGAAATTTCACTGAAGATCAGTTAAAAATGATTGAAATTTCAGTAATTTTTCACTTATTGAACAATTAAAAAATAACTAAAATTTTCAATATGTGTAACAGAAATTTTTAGTAGTTTTTTAATTAGCGAATAAGTGGAAAATGACTGAAATTTCAGTTATTTTTAACTGATTTTCAGTGAAATTCCCCTGATTCAAATCGCGAGAATAGAGTCACTGATTCTCAGTCAAATTTCATTGATCATCAGTGGAGTTTTACTGATTCAGATTTAGAGAGTGTAACTTTAGAAAAAAGAAAATCAAAATTAGACGTTTGGAGGAAGAAATAAACAAGGGATATGTTTCTACCTTATTTTATCATACTTCATTTCCACCTTACTCTCACCATACTTTTACTACATCCACACCTAAGTCGTACTTCACTTTCTTTCTACCCTCAGCTGACTTTGATCAATTCAGATTCAATCTACTTTCCTATTACCCTCACAGTTACCACACTTTCACTCCACTTTCATATCGCATTTAATTCCACTTTAAATAAACTCATCATTTTTATTCACTATACTCATGCTTACTTCACTGTAACATCACCGTCAACTCAACTTTTCTTACACTAATGCTTCACATTCACTTCAATTACACACTTTTTCACCCTCACCCCACTTGATTCACGCTTTGAATTCACTTCATTGTTACTGCACTCTTATTACACTTTTACTTCTCTATATCTACACTTTTTATTCACTCCACTTTCACATCAATTTCACCACGCTCACATTTCATTGACATCTTTCACACACTTATTCATCCTCATCTCATTCCTTCTTCACTTTTACTTCATCGTTGTCATCATCATCATTATCGTTGCGATTTTTACTAAGAGCGTTGGGACTCAACTTAAAAGAAAAAAATGTACCTGGTGAGGGATTGGGAGCTGGAGGTTCTTTCCGTTCAGATACATCTGCCACTATTTTGTGAATAGTTTGCAGATGCCTGTTAAGCGAGCTGGGCCGTGTAAACTGTCTATCACACAAGTAGCAAACGTTTTGTTTTCCATCTTCCAGTTCAATTACTGAATCTGAAATAAAATTATAATTGGTATTATTATAAAATGATTGGAAGGGAGACTAAGGATATGTTTACACCTTCGGTAGAAATTTCCAGAACTTATTTTTTCTAAATTGGGGTGATTCCGCCAAGAAAATTACGGTAATTTAATTTTTTAAAGAGAATTTAAGAGAATATTGGAAATTTAAGTTTATTTATTTTAATAATGTATAGGGGAGAGTAGGCTACATTGAACCAGCGTCAACAGTGAACCTCTTCAATTTTCTGAGAAATTTTCTGTGCAATTTTTTCTTATTCAATGTATAAGTTAGTATTACCGAAGCAGACTATGTCCAAAATTTTCCGGTACGTAGGTTTATTATTTGCAAAGAAAAACTAAAAAAACAGTTTTTCACGTACAAAACAAAAAATTTGGTGGAATTATAATGACGTTTTTTTATTGAAATAGGAAATTTTTAAAATTAGTTAACTTGTGATTTATTTCGCTTAGGGCGTCAACTTTAATATTCCGATGCGATAAAGAATTTTAAATCTTACATTTTATTATAAACAATTTTTGTTGTGAATGACATGTGTATACAGTGTGTGCGGCATCAATGAACCACCCGAAAAAGCAAAGAATTTTCAATTTTAAGAGTGGTAAAGTTGTTTGCTCTACTAATTAGTAAGAAAAATGCTGGAAGACATGCTTTTATCGTAATTGTGAACGAGAAAAACTCAATGTTAGGAAGAAACATGAATGATAAACGTCACATATAGAATGCACGCAATTTATCAACAATTCTGTGACATACTTGTCGTAGTAGTATTTAATAATTTTAGTAAGACAATTTTAATATTACTAACCTTCACCTTTGACTAACCTTCACCGACAAGCATCTTCAAAGTCGTCGTTTGTCCCCCTTACACAAACTGTTAAACATTCATCAATTTTTTGATCGATTATGGTCCTATCATTGGAGTGCAAAGCTTTTCTTATGACTGACCAGCCGTTCAAAATTATCTTTTCTAGCTGTTTTTCCTCAGGAGTTAACTTGGTGAAAGGAGAACTGAGAATGGATAGATTGGTATGGTTTTGGTAAACCTGGCCAGTCATTTTTGTTAGATTATCTGAAAATAGGAAGACATTTAAAAATTTAATTTAATATTTCGAAAATGGAAAAGAAAGTAACAAAAGCAAAAAAGAAGTGTAAATAGTGTGTCTAACCTTTTGCAGCATATATTTTTGGTTTTAAATAAATTTGAAGACATTTGTCCCTACCCAAGTAGTACGTAACATTACTGAAATGTTGCAGCAATGTTACATGTAATGTTAGTAACATTACAGTGTAACATTGCAGTAATATTAAAATGTCCGCCCCAAGGTAGTATTACAGGTAACGTTACAATAACATTACATGGTAATGAGACGAATGAATATTTCCCAAATGACAAGTAACCGAATTGTAATTTGACCGAAATGCAAGTAACCGACCTGTCATGTAACAGAATTGTCATTTGACCGACCCGTCATGTAACCGAATTGTCATTTAACCGACCTGTCATTGGACCAACCCGTCATGTACCCAGGAAACAAAAACCTGTTCGCTTGTTTTGAATCGGTCGAAAGCTCTCGTGAATCCGCATTCTTAAAAGGCGGAGACAGATTATTTCTGATTATTTGCACTACTTATTGAATAGGACGTCAATAATTTGAATCGGGATAACAAACTTTCTATTATCCGATTCTCAATGTGACATGAATCGGAGGTGGCGTCGAATGAGAATAGTATATGATAAAAATGTTTACAGATAAATAAATTAATATACTATTTTTTTAAATAAATTAACGAATGATAGTCATTTTCAAAATAAATGTTTTATTAAATATTTACAAGAAGAAAAATGAAAAGTATTATGAACTCGAAAACTTTTTCGGACTATAATATACAAAAAACTTCGAGTGCTAAAAATCCCTGGTTAAAAAACCGGACAGATTTCGGACTAATCCGAAATTTGTCCGAAACAATGCGGTTTATGGTCAGGTTTTTGTCACCCGAAATTAATCCGGAAAAATCCGAACTCTATACGGTTTGTGAACAACTAGTGTAACCGGAGTTGGTCCGATGAAGTCCGAAATTAATCAGTTAATTTTAACTAGTGAATCCGGAATTAGTCCAGACAATTAAATGAATGTTATTAAAAAAATAATTATACAAGTTACACCTACACCTATCTAACATTATATCGCACCGAAGTCGAATACACTAACCACTATACCACGCTCGCATGGGAGTTCAAATTCATAATAGAATTTATGAAGTGCCACGAAAAGAAATGACAAGAAACTAACACATCAGTGTTAACTTTATTATTGAAACAAGATAACTAATAATACTAGTAAATTTGTAAAAACAAATTGACTGCAGAATTAAATATTTTTTTCACCATAAGTAAATACCCTGAATAAAAAGTGGGACCGTTTTTTATAACTATTGAATCCGTAATTAGTCCGGTTTAACCTGCAGTTAGTCAGATCATATGCGACTAGTAAATGCAGAAGTAATCCGGTTGGTTTAACTAGTGAGTCCGCAGCCAATCCGAAACAGTCTGTTTGTGGACAGGTTTTTGTCGCTCAGAATTTGTCCGGATAAATTCAAACTCAATGCGGTTTGTGTATAACCAGTAAATCCGGAATTAGTCCGATCTAGTCCGAAGTTAGTCTGATAATACGCATCTTGCAAATGTGAAATTATTAAATCCGGAATTAATCTGGTTTTTGTCAGGTTTTTGCCATACGAAATTTTAATTATAGTTTGAATTTATCTGCATTTAATACAAATTGCTTTTAATATACAAATTCAATATTATACCAAAATCATTCCAAATTAAGTCTTGTGACGACCCAGATAGTCTTATCTTTTTTTTACGAAATAGTTGTTCCTTTACCCGAGCGCATTCAAATTCGCGCGCCAAAGTAGCGCGCATGACTGCACTTAGCAGACGACTCGCACGACGCCGGCGAGACTTGTTGCTCTCGCCAGATAGATGCGAGCCTTTGCGAGGATATATTATAAGATTATCGCGCTATAATTACCGCTTATTATATTGTATTCGCGCCTTTTCTTGTTACTGATAAACAATAAACGTTTCGTTAAGTAACTTTCAGTGACTTGTTCATTTGTTTGGATTATTAATCGTTGTTAAATAGGATTAGCCGCCACGAGGACCATCCGTCGACCGGTAAGTTCGCTCTGCACCATTTGCTCTTTCTTCTGGCCGATTGGACGACTACTTGGCAGCCTTTCTCAATCGCCGTATTTGCTCGCTGCTGGAACTTTCGCTCAAGCTTTGTGCCTCCCGTCTCGAGTCGTCCCCATCCCCGAGAACTCTTCAATTAATATCGCTCTAAATTCAATTATCGCGACCGGGTTGTCACATTTTTGGCGCCCAACGTGTCTTAGTTATTAGAACTAAGATAAAAACTTGATTCCAGAGCCAAAACTGTACCTACGCCACATTTTTGGCGCCCAACGTATTTTTTCTTATTTATAAAAAATCGAAAAATCACGTTTTTTCTATTAAAATACGCCGATTCTCATCACTATAAAATCCCGGCGTGCTATCCAAAATGGCGTCGCCATGCTGCTTTTATCAGTGTTGAAACTCGGTTCTCTTTGGTGTTAAAATGTCCATTTTAACTTGTCGCGCATTCTAGAAAATAAATTAATTTTCCCCTTAAACGCGACAAAACACCACAATCATCTTGAGTGAAGGTTCCACGGCTTGCTTTGCTCGCATATTATAACAAAAAAAATATATTATTAAAAAGCTCGCATCTCTCTCATCGCTTCGTATTATTTGCCTTAATTTTTGCATAATTATTTCGAATATTTTTGCTTCGCTATCAAAATCATTTTACTCTTGTATTTCTATCGCATGAAAATTATTTATTTTTATAAAATAGCTTATTTATTTTTGTAAATTATTTCGCAAGATACAATTTATATTATAATTTTCGCTTCTCACGACAAATTATATTTCTATTATTTATTTCAATAAATGTAAGCATGACGATGACTCACAATGATGATCACTTCGGGAAATAATGCCAAATTTTCCACTCAAGCCACAAAGGCTAGGAAAATTACCAAACCCTCGCTCGAAACGCGCAACCAAAACACAGCTGTGTTTCTGTAGAAATTTTTTTTTCTTAACGAGTGTTTACTACATGCTCTATCCTGTTGCTTGTTTCTGGCCTAATCAGATAAATCTAATTTAATTTCCTTTAAACGAAAAATTAAATTTATCCTACATTAAAATTTAATTAAAATTCTTTTACAAAAAAAATATTCTTTTCTCTTTTGACAAAAAACTACTACTTCTTTTCTTGCTGTGATTTTTTTAAAAATAAAACATTAACTAAATTAAAAATTTTTTTTGTTTTCTAATTTTGAACTCAAACTTTTTTTTCAAAAAAGATTTTTTCCCTTTTTTCAAAATAAATGCCAAGAAGACACAAACACTCTGCTACTCAAGGAGTTACTACCAGGTCACAAAGCAAACAAGCAAACATGTTCATAACACCACCACAACAGAAAAAGGGTTCTCAACCCACAGCAGAACCCAACCAACAAACAGTTGCCAACCCCCACCCCACAGCGAGCGAACAAAATTTGGAAGCTGGTGGCCCTCCCCAGAATCAACCCAGTCTTGAAACAAGACCCTTGGATAGCCTTCAGACTTCGAATGAGACTACGACCACCGCGCCACCCACCTCTCCCCTACTTTCTTTAGGAAGTTACATTACCAGCGATGAAACCGAACGTCCCCTTAGGGACACTCGAAACGATTCAATCGCAAATGCCAGCGCGTTGTTTGATTTTTCTTCATTCACAGGTTTTCCACAAAATACCCTTAGTGCAGGTTCAACTCTTAGAACAAATTCGGGTGCGATTTCCAAAATCCTAAATGCGCCTCCACAACATCAAATTTCAAAACGCACTTCTCCTCTTACAGAACGCAGACTTACTAAAACAATAAACACCCTCCGTTCTGAACAGAAAAATCACCTCGAAGAAATCAAAGAATTAATTCAGTTATCGTCTCAGGAACAAACCCGAACATCCACTGATCTAATTACTTCATTTCATGCTAAAACTCGAACCGAAATAAATAACTTAAAAACAGAAATTTTTAATGTCATAAGCAACCACCGTGTCGAAACCGCAGAAAATATAAGCGCATCTCGATTGGAATCAAACAAAGCCATTGACACCTTAAAACACGGCATAGCCGATTTAAATAGAACAATGACCTCCCTCACACAAAAAGTAAATGCATTACAAATGCACCAAGCGCAGTCACCCTGGAGAGATTCCAGATGGGCATTCGACGAGAGCGGGGACCACTTGCCTAGTCTCACTAGCCACCCCCCACTCTCACAACTACTACAACTACGACGTCAATAGTAGGTACAAGCACAGTGACACAGACGGGAGCGACGTCTCATATCGTCCCCCCACTATCACACGCAACACCAGCAAGGCTCACTTCCCCGCCTAATCGCACCTTACACTTCGACGACAACTTGCAGTATCACGACGCCCCTCTCTCCCCACATACCGACTCGCCCAACTACTTCACACCATTGATTCCAACACCGATTGCTCCCCCACAAATAACACCAAGAAAAGCGATCCCTAATTTACACAAAATTATTAAATCTTGGGACCTTACATTTCCTGGAAAATTAGACGCCCATGATTTCATTGCCGAATTTGAGAGCAGGATGTTGTCCACTGACATCAATCCCAATGACGCTCTTCTTTCATTGTCTCAAGTGCTAGTAGATTCAGCCTACACTTGGTACACTACCTTCCGACACTCTTGGCACACATGGGCCGAATTCGCGACAAAATTCCGCCTCGCTTTCAGTCAACTCAATGACGACCAATCATTGACGAATAAAATACAACGAGCGGTTCAACAATCAAACGAATCCGGATTAGATTTCGTAATTAGAATCAGCGCCCTCTATCAACGGTTGCAAAACAAAGTGCCAGAACCAAATCAATTAGATAAAATTTACTCAGCGCTTCACGCTGAATTGATCCTTCACTTTGACCGCGATACATTTAATTCTTACGATGGATTAATATCAAAAATCCACAAATACGAAAATAAAATCGCGGCAATGCAACAGTCGACAAAACAGCGCGAATATGACACTAAACGCAATCGCAATCCCCGCGGTAAAACGCAATTAAATGCGCTAGAAAATTTACCGCAGACTGAACAAAAAACGGATTCGAAAACCTCGCCAGAAACAAAACAAGAGACACCCGCGAAGCAAAATAAAAATACAAATAGGCAAACAAATTCAGAAGCACCCCCAAAACTCAATAAAATCGAATCTTATATTCAACAAATCAAACATTTGCAAAATAAGATTCCGAAAAATTACAATTCGAAAACGACACAGGAGAAAGACTCTACGAAGTCCCCCACTACCCCTTCTCCTTCGCATCGTTCACGCAAGCGTTCCACTTCTAGTTCTTCCAGCTCCTCGCATTCTACTTCATCGCAGAAGGGGGGGAAAGCACGTGGATCGCCCGCGCGCAAGAAAGACGAGAAAGGTAGCAAGTCTAATCGAAACAATAATAGGGAAAGACGAAATAATCCGAACCGCGGTAATAATCAGGGTAATAATTGGAACAACCAAAACAATGGCTACAACCAACAAAACCCTTATTTTGCGCACCAGTTCCCACCAAACTTTCAGTTCGGAACACAACCACCGCAACCGCAGCCAATGCAATTCGCGCAACCAATGCAGTTCGCACAACCAACGCAAATACCTCAGCAGCCTTGGCCCGGTAATTTCAACCACGATTTCCCTAACACATTAGGACAAAATATTCCCTCGCAATCAAAAAACGACGGGAACGCCAGGAGAGATTAAATCTCCCTGGCGAAACACAAAACAAAAATATCGCTCTTTCTAACGACGGTTTCCCTAAAAATCAAAGTCATATCGAAAATCGTGCAATTCCTGGCTGTAGCCACACCACTGTCGAATCGGGACGCGCCCTTGAAAATGCAACAACGCTTTATCAAGCATTCGCTACCAAGGATGACGTCAGCGATTCAGACTGTGAGTGGGGCGACTGCTACATCACGGAATCCGAGACGGAGTACGAAGACGAAGAAACCCCCTCCACCGACCATATAAACTCGATGGAAGCGCGCATTTCCTCGCTCTCTTCACTACCCTTACTATCTCCCAGCAATCTTTTACTTGCATCAAAAGAGATAACTGAGTGTAGAGTACAAAAAGGGCCTGCTACGCCCTTACCCTCACAAAAACGGTGCACGATAACAACTTCGATTAAGATAGGTAATAAAAAATATACGGGACTCCTTGACACTGGTAGCGACCGCACCTTTATGTCAGGGGAATTATTTGACGAAATTAAACAATTCGTTAACGGCGAACCGATTCTCGACGCAATAACCCGCGCCGGCGTGCAACTCGCGCAACGCGACCACGTGGCAGCCCCCCGTTATTCCGCGAAATTTAATATTGAGATATCGGACTGTAACGGCGAAATGTGGTTCGCAGTCCTCGACGGGCTCACCACACCCATTATCTTAGGAATGGATTATATAACCCTTTGGCGGATTAATATTGACGCCGCCCAAGGCTGTTGGTCCATAGAAGGGTCAGACATTTTACACCCCCTCGCCTCCTACGATAAAATTCAAAGCCTCTTGAGCTCAGCGCAGTTAATAGAACTGACAACTGAACAACAAAGTACGCTTCAAAAATTCTTAGATAAAGAATTATCTGACTTCGCCGATTACACTGGAATAGTTAGTGACCTCACGACTCACGTCATCGATCTCACTGACCCAACCCCTTTTAAAATAAAACCTTATCGCCGCAGCATGGAAGCTGAAAAAATAATGAATTTACAAATCGACAAATATATAGCTCGAAAATTTCTAGTACCTAGCAATGGCCGATTTGCTAGTTCCGCACTGCTAACTTATCGAAAAGATGGCAAACCGCGACTTTGCATTGATTACCGTCGGCTCAATAGAGTTACAAAAAAATCAGAGTACCCGCTACCACGCATGGACAGCATACTTGACGCGCTTTCTGACGCCGTAATAATCAGCACGATCGATCTTACCGATGCGTTCCACCACATACCGGTCGACTCGAAATCGCGAGAATATACCGCCTTCTCGGTTCCCGGTCGCGGACAATTCGAATGGGTCCGAATGCCTTTCGGCCTCACTAACGCGCCAGCCACATTTCAGGCTTTCACTGATAGGCTGAAACAAAAGTTTGTCGAGCACGTGCGTAAACACAACCTCCCTGAAAGGTTAATCAACCAAGTGCATGCATACTTGGATGATTGGATTATTGTTTCCAGAACCTTTGACGAGCACCTCGAATTGCTAAAAATTTTGTTCACCATTCTCAAGGAGGCTGGCATGTCCATCAATCGCGAAAAATCATTTTTTGCGAAATCGTCGGTCGAGTATTTAGGTTATATCTTAGACAAGGACGGCCTTAAGCCTAACCCTAAACGAGTAGAACCAATCCTCGAAAGACCAACACCCAAAAACCGCAAGGAACTGCGCCAGTTCAACGGTTCTGTCAATTGGTACCACCGCCATTTGCGCAACATTGCGCGAGTGCAGGGACCGCTTAACAAACTAGCGAGCCCAAAGGTGCCATGGCAATGGACCGAAGAACACGAGGCCGCGTTTATCGCAGTCAAAAAGGAATTAAAAAATGCCTTGACTCTAAACGCGCCACGGCCTGGCTTGCCATTTATCCTCTACACAGACGCGAGCGACACAGGAATCGGCGGTATTTTAACCCAACAAGATAAAGATCGAGAGCTTCTTATTACATGCGTCAGCCGACCTTTGAGGGGTGCTGAACTTAATTACACCACTACCGAAAAGGAGTGCTTAGCACTGGTTGACGCAATGAAAAAGCTCCGTTGCTATCTCGAACTTACTGAATTCACAGCAATCACGGACCATTCTAGTCTGGTCTGGCTCAAGGGCATTAAAGATCCTAGAGGCAGACTCGCAAGGTGGGCCCTTGAACTGTCAGCGAACAAGGTAAAAATCGAGCATCGCAAGGGAACGCTCAACGAAGCACCCGATACCCTCTCTCGCCTCTACGAGAGTCCACAGGAAGACACGCCCCCCGCGCATGTCAACCTGTTAGTCAGTCGGTCGTGGTACGATGACACAAAAGAGAAAGTCAGTCTAGACCCCGCGCGATATGAGCGATATACAGTAAGAAAAGCTATCCGTCAGTCATAGGAAAGTATGGGAATCGCATAAGTCTGTCTCACTCCCACTCATGGGATATGACTGACGTGGTAGGTTTTCGTACTGTAGAATAAGCCCAGACGGCGAACTATTTTATTACAAGCCCAATCACCTGAAAGAAACAATAGGTGACAATAATGCCTGGAAAAAGGTTCTCAAAGAATCTGAAATCCTTGCAATTCTTACAGAACATCACGATTCTCCACAATCCGCGCACCAAGGAATTAACAAGACTTACCATTCAATATTGAATTCTTATTACTGGCCCGGTATGCGTGAAGATGTAAGGCGCTATATCAAAGAATGTGAGATTTGCCTTCGTTGCAAACCTGACAATTCCCCGCCTCAAGGCCTGATGTACCCGCGCAAATTTACAGAACCATGGGAAATCGTATCACTCGATATTATAGGCCCCATGCCGCGATCGAAAGCAGGAAAATGTTACGTGTTAGTTTGTGAAGACACATACACACGCTATATCGAATGTTTCCCACTATCAAAGGCAGACGGCCCCAAAATCGTGAACTCATTAAACACACTCGTAAACAAATGGGGAACGCCGCGAATTTTTATTACGGACAACGGAACAGAATTCGTAAACCGCGCTATCTCTAAATTTTTAACAGAGATCGGATCAGAACAACGAACAACTCCCGTCTACCACCCACAGTCCAATCCCGTCGAGCGCGTTAATCGAAATCTCAAAACGATGATCGCGAGCCTCCTCGGCAAGGATCACCGCGACTGGGATAAGTTGCTGAGCGAAATTCAATTCGCTTACAACACGACTGTCCATACGTCACTCGGCGTATCCCCCGCTTACTTAAATTTTGCTCGCGAACCTAAACGCACAGGTAAACAACCACTCGACACAAATGACAACACTACAGAAGACACTGTTCACGATTGGTTGGAACGTGTGACACGGATAGATGACCTGCGCGCAAAAATTGAATTATCAATGAAAAAGGCCAGCGAGAAACAAAGTAAAAAATTTAATAAAAATCGAAAGCATGACATTTCCTTCGAGCCAGGAGATTTGGTATTTTATCCAAATAATCTTCTGTCTAACGCCGCTAAAAATTTTAGTTCTAAATTAGCACCACGCTACCGAGGTCCTGCGGTTGTCTTAGAAAAATTATCACCCGTAGTGGTCATCATTGGTGATATGCACGGTAAAAAATTAGGTAAATATCATGTCAACGATCTAAAACGCGCAAAGAAAGGTTTACGATCGCGAACTTAACCATTTTCAGATCGAAAACAACCATGGAGAACTCCAATGCACCCAACGTCAACGACAACGCCTCCAGCCAAGCGGAACTGCCAGTCTTACGTCTCGAGTCCACACTGGAGCAATTACTGACAGATTTGTCAGACCCGGCCTTCGGAGAGGAGTCACCTGGCCTTGTTGTGCTAAAAAAGGAGGACTTTCAAACCATTCTTCTCGCGCGCCGTTTGCTCGCAATAAATTTGAACGAGGCAAACACTCACAACCTTAAACTCGAAGAGGAACTCTCGGAAGCGAGAAAATTTCCCCCACCACCAATGGGCAATTTCTACGAGGAGCAATTCAAGGCTGTATACGCTATGGCTAACGAGAAGCAACGACTAACCGAAGACCTGTTCACTGCGCAAAACAACACGCGCAAACACGAGGAAGAAGTAGCCAAGCTGCGCCAAGAACTCGAAGCATTCGAGTATGACTGGGACGATCTTCTCAAGAGTCATAAAAACTTCAAACGCCAAGCTGCTCTCGCCAAGAATTACAAGGACCTCTTTAGACAAACAATCACAGAAGTCTACACCGCGCAAGCCAATATGCGCGAACCTTGCCTCCGAAAGAAACTACCACCTGGCTGTATCAACTGCAAACAAGAAGGTCACAGCCATAATTCTTGTCCTGAATCTTACTCCGGAAAATTCTGTCAAGAATGCGACTGCCCGGACTTCAACACACAAGATTGTCCATGGCCTCATTACGAAAATAAGAAAATTCCCTCTTTGCCGCCGCATCTTCGTTGCAAGCGCTGCACTATGGGGAATTTTTGGAAAAAGTGTGTCAAAATCAAAGAACCTTTGAATGAAATCATTTAATCAAATGAAACCTTTTGGAGATTGTTGTTTAATCCCTTCCAATTATGGGAAAAATAATAAGAAATAATAATAATTAATTTTTAACCTAAAAAAGTGAGGTCAAAGTTGACTATATTTCGAAAAATTAGAGTTTTTTCTAAGTCCCACGCGAATGATTATTATGATTTAAGCACGAACCATGTTTTCTTGTATATTTTTGGGCGCTTTTTACGAATCTGCAATTGGTTTTTTAAAATTCAAAATGGCTGATCCAATATGGCGGAAATTTTAAACTAATTTCTAAAAATTCATCGGATTCACTTGAAACTCGTTACTCGGGGATTTTTGGGGTTGCTGATTTCGAATATGAAGTCGGTTATTAAAAATACAAAATGGCGGATCCAATATGGTAGTCGAGTTTTGTAAAAATTCATCGGATTCACTTGAAACTCGTTTCTCGGGGGTTTTTGGGGTTGCTGATTTCGAATATGAAGTCGGTTATTAAAAATACAAAATGGCGAATCCAATATGGTAGTCGAGTTTTGTAAAAATTCATCGGATTCACTTGAAACTCGTTACTCGGGGGTTTTTTGGCTCGCTGATTTCGAATATGAAGTCAGTTATTAAAAACACAAAATGGCGGATCCAAAATGGTGGACTAGATTAGTAAAAATTCATTTGATTCACTTGAAACTTATTACTCGGAGTTTTTTGTGGTCGCTGATTCAGAATATTAAGTCGGTTTTCGAAAATACAAAATGGCGGATCCAATATTGAGGTCGGTTATTTAAAAATCAAACGGCCTAATTTGCTGTATTTGTTTGTATGTATATATGTTTGATTGGTGCTGCTTGATAAATAATTGAACAACGTTTAAAAGATTACTATGTGACGTGTACTTCATGTTTTGTTTTGCTGAAAATAATTTTTTGGTTTAAACTGTTAAACGATTATTTTAATCTGTTGGATTACTTAACTGTAAATAATAATCTTTTTATCATTGGTGATTTGAAAATACGGATAAAGGTAAGTTACATAATAAATTTAGGACACAATTTTTAAATTACTAACTAACCTGAAAGCTGTTTGCCATATAATATTTATTGTTTATAATTTAATTTAACTTTGATTAATTTAATACAACCGTTATAGTTTCACTAACCTTTCTTGATTTATTTATTAAATTTTCATTTCATAGTTAATTTGGCACATATTACTGATAAATTTTAAATTAAAAAATGATACCGTTTTGAATAATTTCCGTGCAAGTCAATTTAATTATTAAATTTTTGTCCTTAAAACTACATAAGATTTTTTAATATTAATTTTACATATTTAGTATGAGAACAAGAAAAACTAAGAAGAAGGATAACAAAAATCGTGGTCGTCCATCTAAAAAAATTAAAAATCTATTAAATACTGGTAGAAAGAAAAAAGAAATGGATGACGAAAATGTGTCAAAAAGTACAGCGTATAGAAGAGCCAATGAAATTTTAAAATTTTCAAAACAGAATATTCCTGCTATAAAATTGGCTGCGAAAATAGGGGAAAAAATATCTATTTCTGAAGATAACCAAAATGATGATTTATGCACCTCTGAAGTTATTAAACATACAAATGAATCAGCATTAGCTTTTTATTTAGAATTTGATTTTTCCAAAAGAAGTTATGAGGCTTTAGCACAAGACAGTAAAGCAAGAAATAGTTCTATTTATCCATGTTACAAAGAAGTACAAAAAGCTATGTTTGACTGCAAACCTCTTAATTATCATTCATCTGAAACTGAAGTTTTAATACCTCTGGCAGACTTGCTAAACAAAATCTCTGAACGTTTATGCGAATCCATTGCTTGTGATTGGGATAAAAGAGATTTGCGTAATTTAGAGTTATTGGTCAGTTTAGGATTTGATAGTTCTTCAGGACATGTGAATCCAAATCAAAAGTGCCGAAACTCAACGAATGAAAATCCAAATGCTGTGCAATCTTTGTTTATTAGTAGCATGATTATTATACAACTAAAGAACTGTAGACGAAATGAATTAACATGGACAAACCCAACTCCACAGAGTACACGCTTTTGTCGTCCAATTCGAATTGCACTTGAAAAAGAGGATGATGTATCGACTATTCGTGAGTTTAATAGTTTAAATAAGGAAATAGAATTGCTAAAATCACACACGTTTACTATGTGCAATGGAAAAACCGTTACACTAAGATACAATGTGTCGCAAACATTATTCGATGGAAAGTGTATCAATACAATTGTTGGTAATAAAGCATCAACGAGATGTCCCATGTGCCTCAAAACAAGCCACCAATTCTGTAATTTAAAAGATGATTTTAGTCCTGTAGAATCCTCACTAAAATATGGTTTAGGTTTGCTACACTGCGAGCTTAACTCCTTTGATCACCTGCTTAACTTGTCTTATAGAAAGCCTTTAAAAATGTGGGACGTGAAAAAAGGTGTTAAAGGTAAATAATAACTTAAAATCAAGATATAAAGAACAGATTGAAAATCTAAATCTAGATAACGTTTCTCAATTTTTTAAAATAATTTTCCAATCGATATATTTTTAAACTTAGAAATATTTCAAATATTATTTTCAGATTAAAAATAACAAAAAATAATAATTAAGAACTAAAATGAATAAGAATTATTGTCATTTCTTAAAAAATTAATTGCAAAAATTATTATTATCAGTGAAAAATAATGTCATAATTTCTTTTTATTTACCTTATATTTTTTAAATTTTATAGATCAATTTACGGATAGAAAATTGTTAGTCCAAAAGAATATTTTTGATAAGTTTGGAGTAAGAGTTGATCAAATCCGCCCAGGACATGGCACGACCAATACTGGAAACGTAGCAAGAAGATGCTTTCAAGATCCCAAAATGTTCGCGCAGGCATTAGAAATTAGTGAAGAGTTGGTATCGAATATTGCGCTCATATTGCTAGCCTTTAAATGTAAAAAAGAATTAAAATTAGATGATCTGGAAAATTTCTGTTGGGAAACATACTGTCATTACTATGAACTCTATCCATGGGCTAGAATGAACCCAACACTCCACAAGTTATTAAAGCACGGGTGTCAAATTTGTAAAAATTTTCCTATTTCAATAGCATTCTATGCTGAAGATGCGAATGAATCGTGGCATAAGTTTTATAAAAAGAACTTTCTCTCCCATGCACGTCAAAATTCAAGGGAAAATCGGATTTTGGATGTATTTAACAGAGCAATTTACCTTACAGATCCACTTATTTCTATGATCTATTTAAAAAGAAGATTAGACATGCACAATGTAAATAATGTGCCAAGAAATTTAATAAGATTTATCAAAGATGGGTTAGTGTACAGATTCATTTTCTATTACAGTTTCATTCGCATTTTTTAAACTTTAACATATATTATGGATTAAATTCAATTATAAGTACGATTTAGTTAGGTTTATTAAATTATAAAGTACATTTTTTAAAATAAATGGAAAATTCTTTAAAAATTTACAGTTACAAATTTTTTTCAGACAAGTAAATCAAGGCATCATTAACCAGGTAATAGAAAGTGAGGAAAGCGAAATCGCAACAGATTATATTGATAGTGACTAATTTTAAAAATTGTAAAACATGATAGAATTACTAAAAAGTATTTTAAGTCTTAAAGTTACGTTAAAGAAAAGATCTATTTATACAAGTTCAGACAAGATTGATGAAACAAATGATTTTATAATCTACATTAAAAAATCAAAAAATAAAAATTGTTAACTAAGAGTAAATCATTTCTATGTAGAAAATATTCACGTTTAATTTTGCACAATCAAATGCTTATCTACCGATTTGTTTGTCAATACAAAAAAATTCTGTAGAACTGTAAAATCAACTAGAACTGTATATAAGTAATCAGCGAACACAAAAACATCCGAGTAATAAGTTTCAAGTGAATCCTATGAATTTTTACCAAATTGATCTGACATATTGGATCCGCCATTTTGTATTTTTAATAACTGACTTCATATTCGAAATCAGCGACCCCAAAAACCCCCGAGTAACGAGTTTCAAGTGAATCCAATGAATTTTTACAAAACTCGACTACCATATTGGATCCGCCATTTTGTATTTTTAATAACCGACTTCATATTCGAAATCAGCAACCCCAAAAACCCCCGAGTAACGAGTTTCAAGTGAATCCGATGAATTTTTAGAAATTAGTTTAAAATTTCCGCCATATTGGATCAGCCATTTTGAATTTTAAAAAACCAATTGCAGATTCGTAAAAAGCGCCCAAAAATATACAAGAAAACATGGTTCGTGCTTAAATCATAATAATCATTCGCGTGGGACTGAGAAAAAACTCTAATTTTTCGAAATATAGTCAACTTTGACCTCACTTTTTTAGGTTAAAAATTAATTATTATTATTTCTTATTATTTTTCCCATAATTGGAAGGGATTAAACAACAATCTCCAAAAGTTTTCATTTGATTAAATGATTTCATTCAAAAGTTCTTTGATTTTGACACACTTTTTCCAAAAATTCCTCATAGTGCGCTGCTGGCAACCAAAAAACCAGCCCAACCCCTGTTGCGCGCAATGCAGGAAAATAATGATAGAGAAGACTACCGCCAAGAAGTATGACCTCGCCATAGAGATGGAAAACAAGGCTCGCAAACAAACTGCAACCATCACTTACACTGGCACCATATCAAAAGCACCCGCTGTCGTAGCGCAGCCCCCCACTTTCAACAGAAGGACTGAATCGCTCAATTTGACGGCTGACTCCAATTCGAAGCGACCTGACAATCTAGACACAGCTTCCACCACCTGCGAAGAAAGCGACTCACAGGCCACCAGGAGAGGATGATCATCGCCAGCACTCCAACCGCCCTTGCGCTACTTCGAAACCTTTTTCTTTTCCGCGCCGTTGCGCTATTTCCGAAAAATTCTTATTTTTTTTTCTTTCTATAAATCATTTAGTCGCGTCATTCCGCGTATACAAAAGAATATACTTTTATTTTCTTTCAACGA